TAGGGATTTTTGGGCTGGAGGTAAACAGCAATGACTGAGCTGTAGAAGAGGGTGACCACAGCGAGATGGGAGGAGCAGGTCCCAAAAGCTTTCCTCTGCCCTTTTGCAGAGTTAATCCTCAGCACTGCCCAGGTAATGGCTCCATAAGAGACAAGGATGAGGCTGAGAGGCACAACCAAGATGAAGACACTGGCAACAGCCATCTGGATCTCATTGTAGGAGGTGTCCCCGCAGGAGAGTCGAATTAGAGCTGGGACCTCACAGACAAAATCATCCACTTGCCGATGGGGGCAGAAGGGCAGGCGCAGGGTGGATGGTGTCTGGACCACTGACTCCACCAGCCCAATGACCCAGGCCACAGATGCCAGCTGCCAGCACAGGCGGGGGTGGATGATGGTGGCATAATGGAGAGGCTGGCAGACAGCCACGTAGCGATCAAAAGCCATCACTGTCAAGAGGATGCACTCAGTGGTCCCCAGGGACAGGAAGATGAAGAGCTGGACAGAGCAGCCCAGGAAGCTGATGGTCTTCTTTGGGCCCCAGAGGTTAACCAGCATCTGGGGGACACAAGTCGTGGTGAAGCAGAGGTCCAAGAAGGAGAGGTTGGAGAGGAAAAAGTGTATTGGAGAGTGGAGCCTGGGGTCCAGCACAGACAGCAGGATGATGAGTGTGTTGCCCACCAGGGTTAGGAGGTAGGAAGTGAAGACAACCACAAAGAGAGTCCTTTCCAGTGCTGGGTGTTCAGAGAAGCCCAGAAGGAGGAAGCCCATGGGGGAGCTTTGGTTAACCATGGCCTGTTCTTGTTTGTACCTGGAAGGATGAGGCTGTCGCCCCAGTGTGATTCAACTTGTCTTATCAAAACTCAGCCTGGGTGTTTGTGAGGTCACAGCAGGTGGGTGTTTCTCTTCTGTCTCTGCTCACCCAGCCTCCATTTCCCAGGCTCATCACCATCCAGCAGCTCCTTCTCGTTCCCTGTTCTTTCTGGTCAAACATTGCCTAGTGAGAATGAGGAAACCACGAATGTACTGGACAGCGGATGGAGACTCACACTGGTGCCTCTGACTTCCTGGGTGAGGGCAGAGGAGGCTGATTTAAAATATGCATTAATTAATTCATTCATTCAAGGGAAACTTACTGAGTGCCACTATGTTCTGAATGCTGTTCTAGAGTTGTCTCATTTATTGGATGATCTCGTAATGTATATTGAATGAATTTTCTGATAAGTGATCTCTGTAGGCTCAATTATTGCTCTATTGGTTGAATGAATTTTATAGAACTCTGTATATTCCATTTGTTTTGTATTTTTTCATTTGCTAGTGAGCTTTTCAGAGACAGTGTTTTATCTAAGAGAGATTTTGTTTTGTTTTAAGATGTCCCCACTTACAGAGAGACCAGGTTGGTTGCCCCGGCCTTTTTAGCAACCTAAGTTGCTGAACCAACTGACCTGAAGGGAGGGGTGGAAATTGGTCCACGTGCTTCGTCCTTGCCATGAGTAGCTTACAAGTAGGAGGCGAGAGTGACCACAAGCATGTTAAAATCACCAGGAGTTCACAGGAACATTATCGAAAGACTCCAAGAGTCACTCTCCTTAAATCCTGTAGTCTTTCAGACACCACCAAAAAGGAATCCAAATTTTAAAGGCCAGTAACAGCAATGTACTGGGTGAATGAGAGTAAAGGTTCTGTAGGATGACTGACCTATTTGGTCGGATATGTCAGGGAAAGCTTCCTAGAGGAGGTGGCTGGGTTTTTTCCTTAAAATAGAGATGTATTGGGGCATAGAAGGTCAGCTGAGAGCTGGAGGTGGGAGACTGAAGCCACTCTGGCAGGTCAGAGACAAGGACTCAGGGTCTTACAGGACCTTAGGAAGGCCATGAGGGGAGCAGAGGAGATGGTGGGCCACCCACAAACGTGCCGCGGAGCTCAGAGGATGGCAGGAGTGTCTTCCTCTTACAGGGTCTCCATCTTGTATTAAGTTCTATCACATCTCCCTTTTTGCCAGGACTCTCTGCCATTGTCTCTTCTTCCTCTTTCTCCCATTATTCTTTTCTTGCTTAAAATATATTTTTAATTTTTAAAATATTGTTACATATTTAAACATAAATATGAGTAAGGCAAATTGCAGTTTAAAGAATAATAATGTTAGGGCCGGGCGCGGTGGCTCACGCCTGTAATCCCAGCACTTTGGGAGGCCGAGGCGGGTGGATCACGAGGTCAACAGTTCAAGACCAGCCTGACCAACATAGTGAAACCCTGTCTCTACTGAAAATACAAAAAAATTAGCTGGGCATGGTGGAGGGTGCCTGTAATCCCAGCTACTTGGGAGGCTGAGGCAGGAGAATCTCTTGAACCTGGGAGGTGGAGGTTGCAGTGAGCCGAGATTGCACCACTGCACTCTAGCCTGGGCAGCGAGAGCAAAATTCTGTCTAAAAAAAAAAAAAAAAAAAAAGAAGAATAACGTCAACCCCTGGTATGCCCATCAAGCAGATTAAGGAACTGAGCAAATGTTTCAAGTATTTTAGAAGCTCCTGTGTGCCCCTCTCTGCTCTCTCAATTCCTCACCCCTCAAGACGTCACCACTATTCTGTTTTTTTTTTTTTTAAGACGAAGTCACATTCTGTAGCCCAGGCTGGAGTGCAATGGTGTGATCTCTGCTCACTGCAACCTCCACCTCCAGGGCTCAAGCTATTCTCCTGCCTCAGCCTTGCAAGTAGCAGGGATTACAGGCACTCATGACCATGCTCAGCTAATTTTTGTATTTTTAGTAGAGATGGGGTTTTGCCGTGTTGGTCAGGCTGGTCTCAGACTCCTGACCTCAGGTGATCTGTCCGCCTCAGCTGCCCAAAGTGCTGGGATTACAGACATGAGCCACCGTGCCTGGCCTCTAAAATTTTAATTATGCCTTCACTTTCATTTTTTGAGGTGTATTTCACATACCATAAAATTTGCCCTTTTGAAGTGTATAATTTAGTGGTTTAAAGTATATTCACAAGTTGTGCAACCAACATCATTTACTTCCAGAACATTTCATCACCCCCAAAAGAAACCTCATGCTCATTAGCTGCCGCCCCCCTCCTTTGTTTCCTTTGTAATATAAAATTCTTTGCATGTAACCTTAAACAATAGCCAACTGTTTCTTATTCATCCATCATGTGTCATCCTAATTAATTTTCTACATTTCTAACTTTGTCATTATCTTGGCATTTTACTCCTTTCCTTTCTCTGCTATATTGCTAAATCTCTTTAGATTACACCTTTCTTAGTGACTCTTTGTTTCCCTTTCCCTCTTTGATCTCTGCCTTTTCCACTCTCATTATTTTTCTCCTACTCCTTTTCCTTCTGATATATTCATGCATTGATCTGTGCATTTATTCATTTATCAAACTCCAAAGTGCCAGCATTGTGTTAGGAGCTGGGGAAGGAGTTGGGAGGTTCCTTGAAAGGGGTTTATGATAGGCTAGTGACCATGACCTACCCTTGCTGTTAGTAAGGTGCTTCCTGTGTGCCAAGCATGGTGATAAACAGCTCCCTGAACATCTGGTTCTCACAGTGACCCTACAAAGACATATAATTATCCCAATTTTACCAAAAAGTGAACAGTCACAGACAAGATAAGAGACTTGTATAAGGTTACCTAGCCAATAAGTGCTAGGACTAGGATTTTAGAGTACATTTAACTCCAAATCTGGTGCTCCAGTGTTGAGGATAGGTGGAAACTGATATCTCAGAGCCAAAGAGCAAAGGTTCTACTTACCTTCAATCAAATAAAAATCTGTTCTGCTACCAGCAATACCCATAACAGAGCTCTTAATTGGCACCCAGCCTCCACTTGTACATCAGGAAGAAACAAAACAAAAAAAAAATAAAGAGGAATGGGCATCCTTGAATGGGCAACTGCATCTCTGGTCACAATAGGGATTGCTAATGTTGGCCATCTGGCACTTTTCTAAGCACACATGTGTGTGATGAGCTGGAGCTGGCTGAGACTATCTCTTGATTAGTAAAATTTAGGAATTTTGTGAGACAGTTATTAAACCATTGGTGGCTTGAGACAGCCATGGCAGGAATATTTACACTATGAAAATTGGCAAACACTACAAATTAGGGCTCTCCCCATCTGCCACCAACCAAGATATTTATTAAACATTTAGCCTACACTGCTGATTGTCCTTCACAACTCTACATATTATTCTCTTCCTTCCAATATGAAGAAGTTGAAACAAAGAAATGTAAATAACTTTCCCAAGGCTGTAAGTAAGCACCAGAGCTGATGGTTGAACCCAAATCTGCTAACTGTAGAGGGTGTGCATCAACCAAAGCCCACCAAATCTCTGCAGGGAGGATGAGGCCAAGGTCAGAACTTTGCCATTGAGTTCTTTGACATCGAGTTCTTTGCCAACAATTTTTCCCCTCCGTCTAAGGAGAGGTGTGTCTGTGTTTTAGTGGCATTGGAGGTAGAAATGTTGACATGGTATGGTGGTAGAGAGAGGGATCCCACGGAGGGAAAGAGCTCATTAATTCTGCTGAGACCCTAGGGTCCATAGCCCACAGACAGTTCATTAGCCACTAATTATGGTAAAGGGGGCAGGGGAATATCTATAGGAAATATGCCAACAATAGTCATCACTGTGGTAGGTAAAAGAGGTCCCTCACTGCTTCTTTCTGTCAATAGGAAGAAAAAGGACAGTGTCTGTCTTCCCCACCACATCCAGTGAGTCCTGGGCATCCTGATAGTCCTCTCAAGCTTATGATTCATCCATTCAGAACCTCAGTTTTTTAAGTTCTCAGCTTCCTCCTTTTCTATTTAATTCTTCTGCAATGGATCACATTGTAGTAACAGAATTATAAAGCTCTGGGTTTGGAGAGTACTTAGGACATTTAGCCAATCTTC